CTATTCGGGTCTCCCAAAGAGGAATTGAAAGAGCTATGCTTGGGCTGAAGCAATAGCACAGTGGTAGGGCGTTTGCCTTGCATGCAGCCAACATGGCCGACCCGAGTTCGATCTTCCACCTCTCTCGGAGAGCAAGGCAAGCTACCTGTGATGTATTCGATATGCTAAACACAGTAACAACAAAGTCTCCAATGGAGACGTTACTGGGCCCACTCGAGCAAATTGATGAACAACGGGAGGACAGTGACAGTGATGTTTGGAGTATCACGTTTCACTCAAATGAGAGAAAGAATCCGGAGTTTCGACCTCCGTCAACAATCAAGAATCAAGGACGCTGTCTCGTTTGCCAAGGAGTCAAAAATCAGATGGGCTGGTCACGTAATGAGATTTAGAGATGACCGCTGGACTAGAGCCGTTACCGACTGGATTCCACGGGATGTCAAAAGACTGCGTGACCGCCCACCTACCAGATGGTCAGACTTCTTCATCAACATCATGAATGATCGGTTTGAGGCTCTTCATGTTCCTAGAGTGAACAGACGCCATTGGGCTACACTAGCACGCGACAGGGACAAATGGAGGTGTTACTGGCGCCCGCTCGAGCAAATCAACGATTAACGGGAAGTCAAGTGATCAAGTGATCTTTTTAAATTCATTTTCATAAATATCATATAACTTTTTAAAGTATGGATCCGTAATTCACATATTGATCATTAATTTACTGGAACCTAACTCAGCTGCATGAAGACATTTGATAGATTTACTTGTTTTTTTCTTGTTTTCTTTTGTCTTGGTGTCACACCCGGCAATGCTCAGGGTTTACTCTTGGCTGTGCACTCAAGGATCAAATTTGGCGAGCTTAGGCTACCGTATACGGTCCAAACCAAAAATAAAGCAACAAATAAAATATAACTAGAGTGTATTTTTCTTCAACCTCTGAACAAAATTTATTGTTCTAGGGTTCTCCAAGCACACCTGGATAAATATCCTCTATTCGTTTGGCTGATAGAGCCTAATATAACATATGAAAAGGAGCATATTTAACTTTACAGAAAGTGACAACAGATAAATTATTTCTTCTATTCGGGTCTCATTTTGTTCATCAGATTTTTTAAGACCATTACAAAACTGTTCATGATTGGATTTCAGTCATAAAGTGTTCCAAAACCCATCCCTCCACCAGTGTACATTTCCCATCACCAGTATCTCCAGGTTTCCTCCCATCACCCCCCACCTGCCACCCCCTGCCTGTCTCTGTGGCAGGTGCTTTTCTTCTCTCTCTCTCTCTCTCTCTCTCTCTCTCTCTCTCTCTCTCTCTCTCTCTCTCGTTCTTTCCTTTTGGGCATTGTGGTTTGCAATATTGATACTGAAAAGTTGTCAAGAATGTCCCTAACCTTCTTTTAACTCTCAGATCTTGTCCTTGCATAATCATTCTCAGCTATATTGTCATAGATTTCCAAAACATTAAAATTACAATTGTTTTTGAATTGTATTTTCAAATATTTTCTATCATCACCCTTTAACACTTTTTACCAGAGAAAATTTAAGCAGAAAATAATTAAGCAGAATATTTAAGATTACATTTGTAAAATCGCACCTACTGTTCTAAATATGGCCAGAGTGAAAAATGACAACGGTTTGCTAAAGTTTGTTCTTTAATTCACTGACAATATAGAAGAATATTCTAACATGTGCATGAACTTCCAATATGGAAAACAAAGCCATGAGCCATGTACTCATGAATTAATAATTCACCACTGTAATACATATGGTGATTGTCAGAATAATGACTGTTTATGGTCACAAATCACAAATCATCCTGTTAATCGTCGATTGCCTCGAGCAAGCCCCAGTAACGTCTCCTTCATCCTAGCCCTGAGATTATATTCAAGGCTCTTTAGGAGAATGGGACCCATCATTGTTACCAGTATTTGGCATATTGGGTACGCCACAGGGAGTTTGCTAGACTCTGCCGTGTGGGCAGGCTACATTCGGTAGCCTGCCAGTTTGTCCAAGGTAGAAATGAGATAATAAGATGTCATAATAGGATGTCGCATGACTGTTTATGGTATAACATATATATCAGTTATATTGCATCTAATTCAACTATTTGGCATCTAATTCTCTTAAATATTACTAGTTTTGAAAAAAGAAAAGAAATATAACTAGCTTACTGAATTCACCTATAAATTAAAGTATAAAAATACAATCCCATGAACATAAAAGTTCTGTTTATTTGTCCTTGGGTATTATAATATGTCTTCACACACATGCACAAAAATGAAACATGCATACACACAGATATCTATCTTTCTGTGTGTTTTCATAATTAGGTCACCATAGCACTATAGCACTGTCCTCCCATTGTTAATCAATTTGCTCAAGCAGGCCCAGTAACATTGTGAAACTTTGACTACGGTGTTTGAAATACCAAATATGTCATAGGTAGCTTGCCAGGCTTTACTGTGTGGGTGAGATACTCTCGGTAGCTTGCCGGGCTCTCTGAAAGGGGCTGAAGAAACGAACCCGGGTCAGCCATGTCGGCCGTGTGCAAGGCAAATGCCTTACCCACTGTGCTATAGCTCCAGCACCAATATTAGGGAAAAAGTTAATAATAGTCCTTTTTGTTTAAGATTCAACATTATCTTTGATGATTTATATAATTCATTTTCCTTTATTAGTACTCATGTCACCACCTTCTATTAATCTTCCAAATTTCTGAATGTATTTCTATTTGTATTCTCTGTACAACCATAATTTGAATATTTTAGTATCTCAGTAGAAGGACAATAATAATATTATCACCATGAAAGTTTATGAATAGTGTGACCATCCAACAATAACGATAGCAAAGTATCTTTATTACAAATCTGCATTCAAATTGAAGAGACATTCACATTTTTCTTTCCATGACTTCAACTTAGTGATTTATTTATTAATATTTTCCGCACATTATTAACTTCATGAAATATTGTAGACTTGATCCCAGAAAAGCATTGTTCTCCAATGAAGTGGACACACAAACACACACACACACACACACACACACACACATGCAAGCACAAAGAAGCCTGACTAAGCTTTGTAAATAAAGTTCTGTTTTTATGTTTTATAAAATGTGTTTTATCAGTGTATATTACAATTAAAATTATTCCAAGTAAAAATGGAATTTTTAATAATGACTATAATGTATTCAAATGTGTTATTAACTTCACACACTTAAATGTTCTAAAACCAGAAATGCACATACACTTTTGGCACATTATTGCAAATGATTGAGCTAACTAGATTAATTAGATAGTTATATAACTTTGGAATATAATAATTTGCACATAAAGAGAAATGTTGGGAACAACTCAAGAAGACTGGAAGTGACAATAAGATTGTGGTGAATGAGTACCTAGTGCAGAAGATGAAGTAAGTTTGAAGAAATGTCATTATTAATGTAACCTGTTACCTAAACCGCAAAACAGAAATAAAGTTAAAAATAAACTAATTTAGGATCTGTGTACTATGTTTTTAGCATGTAAAACTTTACCATCTACAACAATTTTCATATCATTTCACAAATATAGCTTTCATTTGAACTTATCTGGAAAAAACAAAGCAATTTACATCACTTCCTTATGTTTGTCCTCTCATCGAATTTTGTAATTTCTAGCAGCTGCATTGTCTTATTAGTGGTGATTCATTAATTTGTTTCCAGCTAGCCTTGATTTTCCTTTTAGGCTCACTATCATATTTGTTATTTCAAAATGTGTCTTCTTCCCGGGAAAAAGTGGAATGCTTTTGTTAATCTCCAATGTGAAGTTAGATACATATAACAATGTATTATGTATAGAAAGAGGAAATTAATTCATTTTACAGAAATATTGCACTGTAGCACTGTCCTCCCGTTGTTCATCAATTTGTTCGAATGGGCCCAGTAACGTCTCCATTGTGAGACTTGTTGTTACTGTGTTTGGCATATCAAATACATCACGGGGAGCTTGCCAGGCTTTGCCGTGTGAGCGAGATACTCTCAGTAGCTTGAAAGGTTCTCCAAGAGGGGTGGAGAAATCAAACCCAGGTCGGCCATGTTGACCACGTGCAAGGCAAACGCCTTACCAGCTGTGCTATCACTCCAGCCCTTGAAATATAAAAAGGAATAATAAAACTATCAAAACAGACTTTAAGTTTTACCACATTCTTGAGTTCTCAATATTGATAATAGTGATAAATATAAATATCTACATGACTTCTCTATATGAGAATTTATTATATAAGCAATTTTTAATTACATATTGACAAAAATGCATTTAACCATTATGATTTACTCATCTACAATGTACAGAGATTTATTGCTTCCAATATTACATACAAATATCACATTAACTTTGAACTGTGCCAAGCCAAAAAACACCAGTAAATAAATAAAAAAAATTTTTTCACAGTATGAAATCAATCATGTCTAATAAGTAGGTAGTGGTATATTTATGTATTATATCTTTAATTTTATGTTACTTTCCTTTGTGAACATTTAGTTTATTTTCTTAAAAATTATTTTTATATAACATTAGTTTCTTTACACAATGGAGAGTACTGCTACAATCATTAAAAATAAATCAATTTAAATATGTTTTTTAATATTTCACAAGTTATACACATTGTTCCTGAAATTTACTAGTAAGGTTATAGCAATCTGAGTTTACAAAATTTATTTCTAGAGGACAGAAGAAGTAGGATAACAGGTAGAATGGTTTTCTTGCATGGTTCTGACTTGAGTTTGACCCCCTTGTAACTGCATATGCCTCCAGAACCCTGTTTGAATAATTCCTCACTGAAGATCTAGGAGTGAAACATATCATTAAAGAGTCTGAAATAACATGGAAATAAATGGCAAACATGTTTAACATGAACATAAGTTTCAAACTCTGGACAGGAAAATTGAGGTGTTTTAAAGCTGTTGATATTCTATTGCAAATTATTCAAGATAAATTTCTGTTAATATAACTTTTGTCTCATGTACTGAATTGTTTACAGAATAACTTCCTCAAAGCCATTATGACTTCTTTATTCCTCAGACTGTATATCAGGGGATTAAATAAAGGAGTGACAATAGTATAAAAAAGAGAAAACACTCTGTCAGATTCTACAGAATCTTGGGTCTTGGGTCTTAAGTAAGTAATAATGGCTGAACCATAGAACAGCACAACAACAATCAGATGAGATGAGCAGGTGGAGAAGGCTTTGGCCCTACCTGAGGATGATGGCAGCTTCATTACCGTGGAGATGATTTTTCCATAGGAGACAAGTATCAACAGAAATGGAACTGCGACAAACAATGCAGCAACTATGAAGACCAGCATCTCATTTATAAATGTGTCCCCACAAGCTAGCTTAATGACTGGGGGTACATCACAGAAGAAGCTATTGATGATGTTAGAAGCACAAAAGGACAGAGAGAAAATCTGGAATGTCTGTCCTATCATGACTGGAATTCCACTAACCCAGGAGCCAGCCACCAGCTGCACACAGAACTTGTGGTTCATGACGAGAGGGTAGTGCAGAGGGTTGCAAATGGCCACGTAGCGGTCATAGGACATCACAGCCAGGAGGACACATTCAGTGCCTCCCAATATTAGGGCAAAGCACATTTGTGTAGCACAGGCAACTAAGGAAATGGTTCTCCTCTGGGTCCAAAGGTTGGTGAGCATTCTGGGGAGAGTAATAGACACATAGCAGATTTCTAAGAATGAAAAGTTACCAAGGAAAAAATACATGGGAGTCTGGAGAGCAGGACTCACTTTTGTTATGAGAATTATAGTGCCATTACCCACCAGGATGCAGAGATAAATTACCAAGAACAATCCAAACAAGAACCACTGTAGCTGGGGAACATCAGCAAAATCCAAGAGAACAAACTCCATCCATTTTGTGAGATTTTCTTGGGGTGGCATTTCCTTGGGCTTCATCTGTAGAAGGAAAAGAAAGTATGGGTGATTTTCCATGGTCTTTCTAAGCACTGTCTCTTTTGAAGTTTATTTTAACATTTTTGTTCTGGGGGCCACATCCTGCAATGCTCAGGCATTACTTTGGGCACTAAACTAAGGAATTATTCTAGTATTTCTTCAGGGAACTGTATGGAAGGCAGAGGATCAATCCCAGATATATTACTTTCAAGGCAAGTGGATTACCTGCTGAACTTTTTCTCCAGCCCCATTTTTAAAATCTGAAGTAGAACATCTCACATGGATTTTAGGATAGATCTACTATTTTTTTTCTATTTTAAAAGATGCTACTGTATTTGTATGTTCATATTCTCACTTTAGATCCCCTGGATAATGACTTTCCTCCTTCCCTTGAATCGCCTTTATGGTCGTTCATTTACACTGGATGAATGTAGTTAAAAAGAAAATAAATCCTACCATTCTCAGTGCAGACATTGCAATAACAGAAGTCATTAATAGAACACATTTCTTAAATCGAAGAACTTAATCTCCCGGATGATGACCATTATTAATGAAATTCCATATCCCATTGCTATTTTGTATGTCATATTTGAATACAACTAAATTATCCTCATCTGAAAGTCATGTTTTTATCAAACACTGTGCCACCCTACCCGACCAAAAGAAGAAGTTCACAAATCTTGCAGCAAAATTGCAGGTTTTTCTGCTTATAAAAGTCTAGATGCCTCTATTTTTACAAAATATGAGCCACTATTACATTTAGCTAAATGTAATAATTTTTTTCATAACATTGATTATACCAACTCATTAAGATGTATTAGTAGTTTGTATTTAAAATATGAACTCTAAATTGAATTGATGGCTATCTTAATAATTGAATATATGTTTAAAATTGGTTAATTCAATGCTTTATATTTTAATATTATAAAGGTATAAATAAATTATGTAACGAAAACTTTAGTATGTTTAGATTAATGCAACTTAACCCTTAACAAGTAATTCTACAATCCTTGTAGGATGCAAAGACCTAATATTCTTGACCTTTTGTTATATATAATTAGATTTTTATAAGTACAATATAGATTTATCAGTTGCAAAGCATTAAATGCAAGCTTACTAACAGTCTTTAATAATTGGTATCAGTTACAATGGACATTAGTCTGAGAACAATGAAACATTTATAATTTGTCAGCTCATTATGTAATGAAATATATTTTATTTTCTATTTCGATAAGGAAAAGATTTTTAAAAGAACAAAAGTTATGTGTACTGTGTTTTTGAAGGTAAACGACAAAAGAAATAAAGGTCCTCTTTAATTTTTGTACATGAGAAAATTTAATATTAACAATAACTTTGCTTATGTTAAAATCACAGATTTATGTTGATTGAAACTTGATATGAAAAAACATGAATACTTAACCATTAGATGCTATTAAGTATTAAGCTTACCTTTGTTTATTGGTTTTAAAGTACTATTATTTAAATAATAATAAATGAGGTTTTGAAGGATAATAATGTTCTCTTGTTTAAAACTGAGGCTAAACACCAGAAACTCTATATTCTATTATCATAACCAACCCAGCACTTTAAATAAGAAATGATTTTACCTCTGGGGATTAAAAGTCACCCCTCCTTTCCCAAGTAATCTCTTATTCAGTTAATGATCCATTCTGCCACTAAAGCAGTTTAATACAGTGAGTCAGACTGATATGCATGAATTGTTTTACATGGGGAAATAATAACATGACTACTCAAAATGATAACACAGGGGCCATATCCCTTGTATGCTAAACGATAAAGAAAATCTGTAAAATCTTTGTAAAATAGCTAGTCCATCAGCTAAGAATGTAGTAACCTCAAGAATATTATAATGACTTAAAAGTTCATTCTGGTATAAAAGAAATTACAGCAATTAGTCAGTTTATGAAGACTGAGTTGCACCTTTAGTACCTGGAGGAAGAAGATCCAAAGAATAACATGACAGTATGAGATAAAGAAGTACAAATAGAGATGACTTTGTACTGACCAGTGGATAAAGCCAGCATTAGAAAGGCACCTTTCTAAATCACTGTATCACTGTCATCCTATTGTTCACTGATGTAATATAATCCACAACTGAAGCACCAATCTGATGGACATGTTTTAGTTTATGATCTAGGGCAAGGCAGGGAGCTACAAGTGAGTGCTTAGTGGTTACAGACCATCAGAGTAAGAATTAAACCTTCAATATTTTCCAGAATAAGGAAGAACACATTGGTGGACTAGTCCAGCAGGGACACCCTTTTGTCCTGAGTCCGTAGGTTCTTCATAATTCTCAGCATAGTCACAGATTTATGAAGCGTATAAATTTGTTGAGAAAAAAATAAGCAGCTTTTTCTCTTTAGGTCAGTATGAAACCTGGTTAGGATCATTATGATGCTATTTCCAATGAAAATAATCATTTAAATGATGCAAAATGCAAATAAGGTTTCAGAGATTTGGAAGAACTTAAAGGCTCAGTAGACCAAACATACCAACATTTAAACATGCCTGTTTTCCCTTTTTCTCTTCATATTTTATTTGTAGAAATGACTGGCACTGATACATTATTACATGCCAGCTTGATTTTTATCTTAATGTAGAAATACTTCTATTTATTCAGCAACTGATTTAACATTTGAAGTGAGAATGAACTGCATATTACTACTTTTTAGTACTTTTAATTGATCATTTATAAGATAGATCATTACAAAGCTTTTCATAATTGGGTTTCAGTCATACAATAATCCAACGCCAATCTCTCCACCAGTGTACATTAAATACCACCAATATTCCCTGTTTCTCTCCCAGCAACCCCCAGCACCCCACCCCCATTCCCTGCCTCTATGTATGGGAGGCACTTTCCTTCTAGTGCTCTCTCTCTCCTTTTACTTTTGTGAATTATGATTTTCAAAACAGGTACTAAGAGGTCATCATCTTTGTCCAGGGTATTCAGTATTTTTATCAGGACAATAAGACTGTAATAGCTTTTTAATGGGGTGGCAACTTTGAGGTGTGGAAGAGACAGCCAAGGCTTCCAGAAGTACAGGGAGGTGTAGCAAGGTAGCCCATCCTAACCTGAGAAAGACTGGTTATTTCAGTCAAAAACCCTGAATTCCAGGATATTTAGCAGATTATGTCTCTGGGACGCCTGTCCTGATAAGGTGGAGTCAGGCTGGGGGTACAGCAGTGATTTTGGATTGTGGAAGCAAGAGGCTGCCAGGGGCTCTGCTTAGGCAGGCACCAGGCTGACCTGGCCCCTCCAATTTATCTCATATGTTCAGCCATGCTCAAGTGGACATTAACTGCTGCTTTTGTTCACTTTTGAGATTTATTTATGTGTCTCTGTAATAAGACTGATAAATGACCATCTAACAGCTGAGCCAGAGTTGCTTTTTGGACATGGTTCCCACATACCTACCTTTTGACCAATTAATATCTTCAAAAACCTGATCCCAAGATATGGGGTCTAGCCAAAAGCACAGTGGCAATTCTGTGGTATCAGGAAGACTGAAGGCACTATCAGGCTGCTGATGCACTCAGCTCACAGGTACAAGTTGATCATATTCCATCCTGCATAAATTATATATGCCAGACACAGTAACAACAAAGTCTCCAATGGAGACGTTACTGGGCCCGCTCGAGCAAATCGACGATAAATTATATATACATATACATATATATGATCAAGAATGTTGTGCCCATTGTTTTTCAAATTGGTTATGCCAAACTAATTTTTTTTAATTTATTTATAAATTTATTTATTAATTTATTTGCCAGAGCCTGGCAAGCTTTCTGTGACATATTTAATATGCCAAAACCAGTAAATAGAATGGGTCTCATTCCCCTGACCCTGAAAGAGCCACCAATCGGGAAATGTTGAGAAGGATGTGGAAGGGGAGACTGATAAAATCTCAAGGCCAAACTAGGCTGCCAAAATGAAGAAAGACAAAAATGACTGTCTGTATTTTCAGCGACGTACACTGGCATCAGATGCATCCATCAAGGACCTGATGGTACAAGCGAGAAAAATAAAATACATCATTGGTCTGACCGAGATGAGAAGGTATCAATCACATCACGCCGTTTTCGACATTGAAGAAGAACTGTTCCTTTGAACATGCGATAAAAGAGGTGTCAGTGGTGTCAGAGTCCTTGTCAACATGAACTTGGCCATGAACATTTATTCATTTGAATGCCTACCAACCCGAATAGCACGATTACACTTGAATAGATGTGGCTCACTGCCAGAAGTTTCTATCTTCGTTGTCTATGCACCAACATCCAATTATGATGAAGGAGAAATTGAGAAGTTCTACATGGAGCTGGAGAAGTTCTATAAAGAAGACATAACTTCTACAAGATCATTGTTGGTGATTTTAATGCCAATATCGGGCCGAGAAGATCAGCAGAAGAACTTCACATCAGGACCCATGTCATAGAAAGGAACCAACAGGGTGAGAGACTGTCTGAGTTCATCATGTCTACCAAGACCATCCACGGTAACTCACAGTTCCAGAAGGCCGAAACTAAACGTTGAACATGGGAGTCTCCCAGTGGACGGTTACACAACAAAATTGACCACATCATATTCAATCGACGGATTTGCCTGACCGATGTCGCTGTTTTCCCAAAATTCCAAACGGGATCAGACCACCGTCTCCTTCATGCAAAATTCTATTTTAAAGAGCAGGGAGAATGGGCTGCAAAGTTTAAGAAGAGAACACCCAGAACAACCACCAACTGGGAGTTCTTTGGCACTATTGCGGCAACATGGGAAGATGTCATCATTGACAACAATGAGGAGGAATACAATAGACTGATTCAGCACTCCATGATTGTGTGAGAAATGCCAAGAGACAGATAGCCACAAAATAACACCTGTCTTCGAAAACTCTTGAGTTTATTCACTAAAGTGGCTTGGCGCAAGCCTCAGGCAACCGCAAGTGAACATCCGAGCTCCTAAAGCAGTGCAGAGAAGCGATAAAGGAAGG